TCTCTCTCTCTCTCTCTCTCTCTCTCTCTCTCTCTCTCTCTCTCTCTTTCTCTGTCCCTCTCTCTCTGTCTCTCTGTCTCTCTCTCTGTCTCTCTGTCTCTCTCCCTCCCTCTCTTTCTTTCTCTCTCTCTCTCTCTCTTCCTCTCTCTCTCTGTCTCTCTCTGTCTCTCTCTCTCTCTCTCTCTCTGTCTCTTTCTGTGTGTGTGTGTGTGTGTGTGTGTGTGTGTGCATACACATGCATATGCTAGCCAGGCAATCTCAAATGTTAGTTTTAGGGTGCCATGCAACTTTGGCTCTGAGTCTCTGGCCTGGGACTTGATGATCAGCTTCGGCTGACTGGCCAATAACCCCTGAAGAGCTTTCTGTTCTGCTTGCTTCTCCAGCTGGAATTACAGGAAATACTTGTACCTGCTTTTTATGTGTATTCTAGAGTGAAACCCAGGTCCTTGCACCCTGGCAGCCAGCAGATTGCCAATTGTGCCTCCCTTCCTTTGTTCACCTCCCAGTTTCATAATAGTTACAACACTTTCTTTTTAAATTAATTAATGAATTAATGAATTAATTTACATCCCAAACACAGTTCACCCTCCCAGTCCCTTCCTCACAAAATTCCCTCCCTCAGTCTTGTCTCCCCTTCTCCTCTGAGAGGGTCGGACCTCCCCTGGGTATCCTGCCCACAATGGCACATAAAGTCTGCCAGATTAGACTCATCCCTTACCACTGAGGCCAGACAAGGTAGCCATATGACTGAGCTGTCTGTCTGCTACACAGTGGGGGTGGGAGGGGCTCACTCCAGCCTCTGTATGTTCTTTGATTGGTGGCTCAGACGCTGAGAGCTCCCAGGGGTCCAGGTTTGTTGGCTCTGTTGGTCTTTCTGTGGAGTTTGTTTCCCGTTTGGGGCCTCTTCCATAAGTGTTCCTGATGTCCATCCAATACTTGGCTGTGGGTATCTGCATCTGTTTCAGTAGGATGCTGGGTAGAGCCTCTCAGAGGATAGAACTTCCATTTGTATTTAGGGTAAATTAGCTTCCATGAATTAATCTTTTCTTCAGATTTTCATCAACTAATTCATGATGTTTTATATAAATTTTGCTATCAGGTTGCACTTCTACAATCAGCCTTGGAAATTTGATTGAAATATTAATAGCATACACACACATCCATATATATATAT